AGAAGGCTCTGTGAGACAATTTTCAGCCAAATCGCGATGGCCCGGTCATGGATGGTAAGAACTTTAGAGGGTTCTATCTCGAGAACGGTCAATATTTCCAACCTAGAGAACATGATTTTCGGAATCAGCGTGCTGAGAAGGCTCTGTGAGCCAATTTTAAGCAAAATCGGGTTGGCCCGGTCATGGGTGGTAAGAACTTTAGAGGGTTCTATCTCGAGAACGGTCAAGATTTCCACCCTAGAGACCATGATTTTCGGAATCAGCGTGCTGAGAAGGCTCTGTGAGCCAAATTTCAGCTAAATCAGGATGGCCCGTTTCTCGCTGCTGGACTCGCTGCGAGGGTTCTATCTCGAGAACGGTCAAGATTTCCACCCTAGAGACCATGATTTTCGGAATCAGCGTGCTAAGAAGGCTCTGTGAGCCAAATTTCAGCTAAATCGGGATGGCCCGTTTCTCGCTGCTGGACTCGCTGCGAGGGTTCTATCTCGAGAACGGTCAATATTTCCACACTAGAGACCATGATTTTCGGAATCAGCGTGCTGAGAAGGCTCTGTGAGACAATTTTCAGCCAAATCGCGATGGCCCGGTCATGGATGGTAAGAACTTTAGAGCGTTCTATCTCGAGAACGGTCAATATTTCCACCCTAGAGACCATGATTTTCGGAATCAGCGTGCTGAGAAGGCTCTGTGAGCCAATTTTAAGCAAAATCGGGATGGCCCGGTCATGGGTGGTAAGAACTTTAGAGGGTTCTATCTCGAGAACGGTCAAGATTTCCACCCTAGAGACCATGATTTTCGGAATCAGCGTGCTGAGGAGGCTCTGTGAGCCAAATTTCAGCTAAATCAGGATGGCCCGTTTCTCGCTGCTGGACTCACTGCGAGGGTTCTATCTCGAGAACGGTCAAGATTTCCACCCTAGAGACCATGATTTTCGGAATCAGCGTGCTGAGAAGGCTCTGTGAGCCAAATTTCAGCTAAATCGGGATGGCCCGTTTCTCGCTGCTGGACTCGCTGCGAGGGTTCTATCTCGAGAACGGTCAATATTTCCACCCTAGAGACCATGATTTTCGGAATCAGCGTGCTGAGAAGGCTCTGTGAACCAATTTTCAGCCAAATCGGGATGGCCCGGTCATGGATGGTAAGAACTTTAGAGGGTTCTATCTCGAGAACGGTCAATATTTCCACCCTAGAGACCATGATTTTCGGAATCAGCGTGCTGAGAAGGCTTTGTGAGCCAATTTTCAGCCAAATCGGGATGGCCCGGTCATGGATGGTAAGAACTTTAGAGGGTTCTATCTCGAGAACGGTCAATATTTCCACCCTAGAGACCATGATTTTCGGAATCAGCGTGCTGAGAAGGCTCTGTGAGCCAATTTTCAGCCAAATCGGGATGGCCCGGTCATGGGTGGTAAGAACTTTAGAGGGTTCTATCTCGAGAACGGTCAATATTTCCACCCTAGAGACCATGATTTTCGGAATCAGCGTGCTGAGAAGGCTCTGTGAGCCAATTTTCAGCCAAATCGGGATGGCCCGGTCATGGGTGGTAAGAACTTTAGAGGGTTCTATCTCGAGAACGGTCAATATTTCCACCCTGGAGACCATGATTTTCGGAATCAGCGTGCTGAGAAGGCTCTGTGAGCCAATTTTCAGCCAAATCGGGATGGCCCGGTCATGGATGGTAAGAACTTTAGAGGGTTCTATCTCGAGAACGGTCAATATTTCCACCCTAGAGACCATGATTTTCGGAATCAGCGTGCTGAGAAGGCTCTGTGAGCCCATTTTCAGCCAAATCGGGATGGCCCGGTCATGGGTGGTAAGAACTTTAGAGGGTTCTATCTCGAGAACGGTCAATATTTCCACCCTAGAGACCATGATTTTCGGAATCAGCGTGCTGAGAAGGCTCTGTGAGCCAATTTTCAGCCAAATCGGGATGGCCCGGTCATGGGTGGTAAGAACTTTAGAGGGTTCTATCTCGAGAACGGTCAATATTTCCACCCTGGAGACCATGATTTTCGGAATCAGCGTTCTGAGAAGGCTCTGTGAGCCAATTTTCAGCCAAATCGGGATGGCCCGGTCATGGATGGTAAGAACTTTAGAGGGTTCTATCTCGAGAACGGTCAATATTTCCACCCTAGAGACCATGATTTTCGGAATCAGCGTGCTGAGAAGGCTCTGTGAGCCAATTTTCAGCCAAATCGGGATGGCCCGGTCATGGGTGATAAGAACTTTAGAGGGTTCTATCTCGAGAACGGTCAATATTTCCACCCTAGAGACCATGATTTTCGGAATCAGCGTGCTGAGAAGGCTCTGTGAGCCAATTTTCAGCCAAATCGGGATGGCCCGGTCAAGGATGGTAAGAACTTTAGAGGGTTCTATCTCGAGAACGGTCAATATTTCCACCCTAGAGACCATGATTTTCGGAATCAGCGTGCTGAGAAGGCTCTGTGAGCCAATTTTCAGCCAAATCGGGATGGCCCGGTCATGGATGGTTAGAACTTTAGAGGGTTCTATCTCGAGAACGGTCAATATTTCCACCCTAGAGACCATGATTTTCGGAATCAGCGTGCTGAGAAGGCTCTGTGAGCCAAATTTCAGCTAAATCGGGATGGCCCGTTTCTCGCTGCTGGACTCGCTGCTCGCTGCTCGCTGCTAGTTTGACAGACGTGATGACTGAGCCTTGCATTGTCAAATGCGAGACGATGAAGTGCCTGCAAATTTGATCGCAGTTCATCAAGATATTCCGTGATGGGTCGGGTTCGGCCCTTCAGAGGGGTGTCGAGCTCCAGCTGAATCGGTAGCCGGGGCTCTCTTCCAAACATGACACAATAGGGTGACACACCTAAAGATCGATGCACTTGAGCTCGCAGCCCAAGCAAAAGTAACGGGAGATTTCTATCCCATTCAGCGTGCTCATGCTGTTCAAGGAATTTTGCAAACATGTTAATCAGAGTTCGGTTGGTGCGTTCTACGATAGAATTGGACATGGGATGGAACGCGGTAGTCTTGGATTGAGCGATACCCAGAAGCTCGCAAGTCTTTTTCAAGACTTCACCCGTGAAGTTAGCACCGCGGTCTGAATGAATCCGGCGCGGACAGCCGAATCGGGAAACAAACTCGCGAACGAACACTGTAGCAACTTCAGTTGCTTCTTGACTCTTTAACGGATACGCTTCTACCCAGCGTGAAAAGTGATCTACTACAACGAGAAGATTCTTGTGACCACTTGGAGTCTCTGGCAATGATGATAGAATGTCCAGACCCACTACCTCGAGTGGTTCTGTTGCCGAGAGCTCACCAAGCGAAGCCCTCGGAGCCGGAATTGGGGCGTTGCGTGAACCACACTGGGGACATTTTTTACAAAAGGACTCTATCTCGGTGAACATCTGTGGCCACCAGAACCGGAGTCTGGCCTGTTCGAACAGCTTGTCAGCTGCGAAGTGGCCACCGGAAGGCCCAGCGTGCAGTGACGCCAGGGCACTGGAAATGAGAGTTCTGGGCAACACAATCTGGAGCTGATCAGAGTCAAACGGTCTCCTTCGGTACAGACGGAAAAGTACCCCATTCACAAGTCGTAGTCGGTGCCACTGCGACAGAAACCGACCTGCTGCCGCAGACAATTCCTTCTTCTTCGGTTTGCGACCTGCAGACAGGTGTCTGCTGATCTCAGACAAGTCTGGATCCTGGTCCTGTTCAGCGCGAATATAGCTTACTGACCAGTCAGAAGCATTGACACGAAACACGGGAGCAGAAAGACCTTCAGTCTGGCAGGCCTTGTCGTCCACATCTGGAGGTCTGCGGTGTCAAACGACGCAATGCCGTCAGAAATCAAATGGGACTGATACTGCATGGGTAGCGCCTGCATAAAGTAGTTGAACAGCAGACAATCAGCCTCACTGTCTGGGAACGCAGCGCAAACAAGTCCCCTCAGTCGGATGACAAATGCATCCAGGTCAGACCTTGGGTCAAACCTCAAGCCCCTCAGCTGCACCTGAGCCTCGATCACGCCATGGGAAGGGAAGGCCTGTCGGAGACCCCCAAAAGCCAAAGTAATCGACTTTTTGGATGCCTCCGGGAGACAGTCATACGCATCACGAGCGATACCGGTAAGGCACAAAGGGAGTAGGCTAGCCTGCTTAGCGTTATCCCAGTTTTGAAAAGCCGCGTACGTCGTAAAGTCAGAAATAAACCTAGAAACTGAACCAGTGTTACCCCCAAATGACGGTAATCCCAGTGTAACCAAAGTCTGATGAGCCATGTTAAATGGTAATAACGTGAACGGAACGATTGCAGGTAAATTAGCAAGGGATTCGAGAGATCAGAGACCAAATACTCAGGCAGGTAATTTCTGTCCCAGAAGCACAGTGAAATCCTAACTCCAGGCGCCTAATCTCGAAAATCGATAGAAAAAAAAACAAATTTTCACAATCATCTAACTAAACAACGAACGTTGCACAGAAGTCAGTTAAAGTCACAAATGTATGAGGACCCCACAACGAATTAAAGTAACGTACGCACAAAGTAAAGTACAATATACAGTAACAATGATACAAGGTAACACAGTTCAACACTCACCCCATGAAGTCCATAACTCTCGCTCCACCCGTGCGCCACGTACGCACGCGTCAGGTCACGGAGACAGTTGGCAGCCCGCCAGCCACGTCAGCTGGTCAGCTGGTCCGCCGCGCAGAGCCGCTCCCCACGCGGTACCGGAAGGCGCTCGCCGCGCCCACCAACCGTCCGCACGGCCGGCCGTCCGCCCGTCCGACCGTCCGCCAATCACAGCTCACCGAGTCACCGACCGGCCCTCGGGGCCCAGACGCCCGGTCGCCCGCCCGGCCGAGGCAGCCGGGTCCAGTCCGTAGCCTCGCCGCGGGTCCCAGCGGGGAGGCCGCCCGCGCGCCCGGCGCAGTCAGCTGTGCCGCACCGGAGCCTCGACACAGGCCCGAATAGCGAGCCGCTCAGCGGGGCCCGCAATCAGCGCCCGCGCACGCCACAGCCGGATGCAGGCAGCCGAACAGGAAGCGAGCACCCGAGTGGAGGGCAGCAAGACGCAGCTCAGACTCGGCCACGTGGGTGCGAAGGAGAACGCACACCGCTGCCACCAGATGTAGGGCCGGGGTGCCGAGCTCCGCGTCACGACTGCTGCCTCCCATCGACAACACGGTGCTTATGCTTTCGTAAGTTTATATTGTGGTGCGGAGTTCAAATATCAAATCTCAGACATAAGCTCCGCTATCAACTTGCTATTAGCTCCACAGACTAGCCCTACAGACTAGCCCGCGTCCTGCAACAGATTAAAATTAACTTAACAACGCACAAATGCAGACAACGGGGACAACCCAAAGACAAATGCAGACAACCCAAAGACATAGGGTTCAGAAAATTCTAAACCATGCCGCGCAGATCGTGTCGGGATGTTCACGTCGGACGCACGTTACGCCACTTCTAGCCCAACTGGACAGGCAGAGCGTGGACTCCCTCATACGCGAGAGAGATATCATTACCGTCCACAAGCTGACACACTCGCATCTGGCTCCTGTCAGACTGAAACAGCTGATAACACGGCGCAGTGAGGTGTCAAGCCGCTGTACCCGGGCTACGGAGGCGGGTCACCTGGAGCTGCCCCAGGTGCGCTCTGAGCGGGCCCGGCGGCACTTTTGTTTCCGGGCCGCTATGAGCTGGAACGATGCCCCTGATGCTGTCAGGGAGCCAGTAACTGTCGCCACGTGTCGTGCGAGACTGCGATCAAAGTGAGCTTCTGCACTGTGATGACTGCATTTTAACTCTGTATCAACTTTGTGTATTAATCTGTAGAACGCGTCGCGAGGTACAGTGTTTTATAGTTAGGCTGTGATTCTTGTGCGGTGACAATAATATGTAGGTATGTAGAAACCATGTGATCATAATTTGTATGTAGGTACCAATACCATACATGATGCTTCAATGTATATTGACGCAAGCTTTAAAACCCACCATGTGGAGGCTTAAGATCGTAAATAAATAAATAAATAAATAAATAAATAAACGATAAAAATAACCACTAAGCAAAGCAAAGTTAACAACAAATGAGGGTTTACAACAATTCATAGTAACAAAATAGCAAATCTTACCGTTCACGCAGACGCACACGTCACGAACTACACAGGACCAGTGCACGAATGGCGGGGTCGCCGCCGCGCGGCCCGGACGGCCGACCCGCCGGCCAATCGTGGCGCGCAGCGATTGGTGGCTCTCGACCCGCGGGAGTCACATGACCGGAGCAGACAGATTTTTCCGCAACCGGCGCAGAGCCGCCGGATTGCTGCGCGGCACACCGCCTATAATATCTCGGAGAGTTATTATGCTATTAGAATTATTAATATGTCATTCAAAAGAGAATTGTTTAAAGTTTGTATGATAAGTCGGTTTCTATTGTATACGGCACGCCGCACGAATTATGACCATCCACGTCAACGTGCAAACATCTCGTGCCCAAAAAAGATTATTTTTACAAAGTTAGCAGACTCATGACGATGGGGGCTTTAATGAAATGTTTTCTTGAAAAGACTTCTTACGAGAATGGGAGATTTATATTGTGCACACCAATGGCAGCATTGAGCCTTTTACTCCTCTGTGAAAGTGTGAACTGATTCATAACGCTGAATGACGTCGGATAAAGAGATCAAGTTTGCCAACTTGAAAAATAATCTTTTTGGGCACGAGATGTTTGCACGTGCCATGGTCATAGTCCGTGCCAGACAATAAGAACCGACGTACCAGGGTATATTGGTACCATAAAACAACTTTTAACAATTCTGTTTGAATGACATGAATCATTTTCCTGGCATAATTACTTTTCGAGATATAACGATTCTGTATCGTCTCATTTTCTTTTAACACCATGTATATCACAGATCTGACATGTGGATAGTCATCTGAGAGGATGATGACATGTGACGCCACCAAAGAGGTCAGCCTCGACCAATCAGAAGACACATGGCTGAATCGTATGGAACCAGGCGCGGATACAAGGGGGGGGCCATGGGGGCCATGGCCCCCCTCCCCTTGGCCGATTTTTTTTCAAAAATAAAATAAAAAGTTAAAAAGTTAAAAAGCTGAAAAGGGGGCCTCCTGAAAATAAAGTGGCCGAAATCCGATGAGTTTTTTTAACCTACCCACTTAGTTATTTCTTAGAAGACTAGCTGAGAAGACTTCTTTGTTAGAAGATTGGTAAAGCTTTTCATAACTTGGGGGTCTCTTATACTCACAGAGATGACCACTTTTACAGGGCCTCCTAACCTGCACAGAGGGCCTCCAAGCCTGCACAGATGTTGAGATGTTGCCTGAACAGCTAGATAAGCTCAATAGACGCAGTTTTTTTTTGGGGGGGGGGGGCCAACAAGTGGGAAGATGGGGCCTCCAACAGGTGGGATTATGGGGGGGCCTCCTGGTTTCTAATGGCCCTCCCTTGGAGATTTTCTGGATCCGCCCCTGTATGGAACGGCATGCTGAATTGTGAATATTGAAGTCTTTATGAATGTATGTCATACATATTGCATATGCAGCTCAGACCATTTTGTTTACCATACTTTTTATATCTACGGTTTGATTTTTTGAGTCTCTAGGTTGATATCTCGATTTTCTGCCATTGTTCTCTGTGAGTGAACAACTTTTTCGACTGAAAATGGCCGAACATGACCTCAGTTTGACCTATAACCCAGTACCTGAGATGACCTAGAACCTATTTTTTAGGGGTTCTGTGAAATTGATGTCCGGAGGGTACTGAACATTTTAAGTCACCATTCGCAGTCGTTTTTGAGCTATTAGCAAAAAACCACAGGGGCCCTTTGGACATCCCAACGGGTCGTAGGCTAACCGCACCCCGCTGGAGGGGTGGGGGGGGGCAGAATCTGCCCCCTCCCGTTTTTCGTCAATAACGTTCAAACGCGTCAAGTCAGCGACGTGAAACTTTCAATGCCTTATTATACATCAATTTGACATGTTTCCTGAAAATATGACCGAAATTTGACGGAAAATAGTTGCGAAAATGACGTATTAGTGACGTCATGCCACGACATTTTCGATTCATAACAGCAAAACTTCAAACTCCTCTAACACCATCAGTTCTAAAGGAATTAGGAAACACAAAAACGCATGTGCGTGGTTTTACTTTGTCTTTAAAATGGCTATCTCGGTTTTTGAAAGTTTTAGATTTTGACCCAAACTTTTCCAGGAATTGATTTATTGGAAAATCAATAAAAAAACCAAAATTTTGAGTTAATGGCAAAAACCGGAAGAAGTTGTGAGTACCTGTACACCTACATTCAAACTTTAAGAAAAATCAGTTTAAAGATGCAGGAGTTAATCAAGCTTTTATGACGTCACGACAAACAACATTTCCAAAAAAAAAATGAATTTTTTGAACATGTTTGACCTCGTGCAAGAAAAATAGCACCATTCTATTTGTCGTGTAAAACTGCATCATGTAGACCCCTTTTTGGGTCTAAACAATCAGCTTTAAAATTTGACCTTAGCTGACCTGACCTTGACCTGACCTCCACCTGAAACTATCTAAATGTGTTCCATATCACTAATTGAATGAGCCTATTGAGTTTCATAAGTAAAATGACCCCCATAAAACATGTGTCGAGGATGTCCTATACTTTATTTAACTTTTGGTGACCTGATCTGACCTTGACCTCGGCCTTTGCATGACATTTTATGCAACGAATCTTGTCTTGGTAGCCTATGTAGTTATGTACATGTTTTGGATCATCAATATTAGTCCATTCCTGGCCAGCTAGACCCCAAAGCCGATAATGTTGAAACTTGCATTTTAATCTCTTGACCTGACCCTGATCTAACCCCTGACCTACTGAGGCAAAAATATTTTGCCCCAAAGCTTCGTATTAATGAGAGCTTTCGATTGCCGCTTTTTCCGTCTTTCTACGACCATCGGTTTGGAAGTTACACGCCCCACGGCTGAATAGTCCAGCGGGGCGCGGGTTGACAATGCATAGTTAAAGACACAGATTCCCCATAAAGTAGACTTTTCCTGATAAGGGGACCTTTCATGTGGCTCAGCCTGAGTCCTTCAAGCTGCAACCCTGATCGAAATTAATTTTGGACCTCGCGGCCAGCCACAGTATGAGGGCTGTGGTGACCATTCCAGTGTTGTTTCCACGGACCTCTGTCGTATGCGGCCGACATCAGACACGCGCCATTACAAATCAGACAATGCGCTCGGTCCACAATGGTCGTCCCGTTCTGTGGAGCGGCATCCACGCCTGATGTCACCCAGACACCACGCCCCCGAATGGTAGGACATCTATCTGCAGCACCGCGGCCCCCATCCCTCCTCACCGCGACCATTGCTCTATCTGGAAGCACGGCCCCACCATCGCCCTTCCCGGGCTGACTCGCGCCACTGCAGAAAGAGCTAAATGGGGTATGAACATCGTCCTTTGTCCTTACACTATTCTTCGTGCCATTCAGGGGTCCGGTTGATAGACGCGGCTCGCGCCGTGCCGCCTCCTTCTCACACCGTCCCCGGACTGGGGGGCAGCTCGTCGGCACCAGGCCCGATATATACGGCACGCGGCGCGGCCGCCGAACGGCTCTCCTATCAGTCGCCTTTCGCCGGGGCCAGTCAATGAACAATAGACACACTATTAAAGCCACAATGGTTGAAAGAAATTTAAATGGCAAGAAAAGAAATAAAAGGACGCTTGAACAATGACTGAATAGAGGCCTCACAATGGAGCCGAGATGTGGAGAAAATCCGCTTCCAAAGGCTCGGCGCTGATAAAGTTGTGAAAAGTTTTTGAGCCTGAGGTCTACCAGAAAGCTAGCCTTTCTAAACATCGCCAAGCTGGAAGCCCAGCCATAGCCCCAAGGCGTCAGAGTAACACTTGCTTCAAAAGGAAACTTTAAGCCGTAGTGACATCCGTTATGAAAGGATGCGCTATTGTAGAACTAACTTTTCTCGTGGTGGCTATATCTGTGTCCGCAAGATCCTTGTGATTCTAGTGGATGCCACAGGATAGATCACAAAACACTGTATGTACTTACCTATGCCTGGTGTCCATGGAGAGACTCACTTGAAAAATGCAATAATTTGTTTTTAGTGAAAGCTGATATGTTGAGTAAAAGTCAGAAGTTCGAATAGGATTAGCATCTTATGTTGGAAGTTAACCTCTTGTTTGACACGATATACGATCACATGTCCATAAATAACATAATTCCCCACCTATGTATTGAGCAGATAAGTGAGCACACCTGGGCGGATGTGTTTAGTCAATAAGATCATTGCTTTCACACATTGAAATATAAAACTATACATTTAAAAATGAAGGAGCAAACACGCACCAAGCAAGAAAAAGGAATTTGTTTTTGTCATATCCATGCACGGGTTAAGTCGCTTTATATATGCAGCCTCACGTTCAGGTCAACAGCAGTATTATGTTATTGTTGTTGCTCGAACATGCTTGGCTTTGGCTTGGCTCGGTATGTGTTGGTCGTGTCGGCGCATTAGTTGTGGTTGCATCATTGCCCCTGTCAGCTCACTACATATATGACCCTGAAATATTCTAGTTAGACCCAAAGAGGCTATTCCAGGATGACGGACACTGGTATTTTCAGCATGGTATGGTCGTTGCTTATTCCAGGATGACAAACAAACAGGAAGTGCAAAGGTCTGCGCAAACGACATATTTCACATGTTGTAACAACGA